CTTGATAATGTAGACTACTTAAAGAAAAATCAACAGCTTGGTAATGAGACTCGCAAATTGGAATTCAAGCGAGGCGGTGGTAGTTACCTCAAGAATATCCTGAAGACTGATGTTGGGACGTACATGAGTGCTTTCTTAAATAGTAGTGGAGGTACTCTACTCATCGGTGTGGACGATGAAGGTTTGTTCAGATCCAGTTGATTTATGTCAGTGGTTGAAATCTTGCACCACTGATGTCGTTTGGCACTTTTACAATATCTCTTTTTACCTCTATAGGAGCTGTAGAAACACTCGGCTAATTGATTAATAGACCTTTTTTAGCTCTACTGCCTCTATTATACTCTATTATCTATTATACTGAACTCATGAGGAGCTCTAGAAACACATGGCTGATTGATTAATAGTTGATTGATTATTAGATCTTGTTAAATCTGATTCCTCTATTATACTGCCCTCATCTAAAGCTTTTGAGATTCTGCAAACTTGTTATTTAAATATTTAATATGATTTACAATTTATAGCACACATGTCATCTTCAGAAAAGCTGTCGTACATGTAGAGTAACCCTGGGGGCTATTCTTATTTATGTATTTAATTCATTCACCTTCTACTGTACCGAAATGTCCACTGATTAATCTGAGATAAGATAGTATAATACATACTCCAAGTATTGAAATGCACGTCATCGTGTCGGGATTCGATATTTCGACATTAATTATGTCATCATCAGGAATGATGTACCATTACCCAAAAGAGAGGGCTTGAGCAGTTCTTCTGGACATGTGTGCTAATGCTATAAAAATCCTATTTAAAAATATAAATAAATAAAAAACATAAAGAACATGGTAATGATATTCACTATATACTCAACAGGTTTTGTACAGGGAATTTCTTTAGATCATAAGGCAGAGGACAAAGTTAGACGGGACATTGATGGCGTCATGCGTAGAATAGAACCTGCTGTGCTTCCAAATATCTACTCGGTGTCATTCATTCCAGTACAAGATAAAATACAATGTGAGTACTCTACTATGAAGACCTATTTATTTTTAATTTAATATATTCAGTATATTTTAATAAAAACTACACTTCCTAAAGCTTGTACAGTAGAATGCCACTGCAAATATGATTTAAAGACATTGGATATACCATTGATAACATTTTTATCTCTACCCATAAGCATGGTACTGTACTGTACTATCATTCACTCATGCACTTGAGCAAAGCCCATGCAGCAAACACCATAATAGAATCTACTTATTAGCGTGTTATTTCCATTGCCCAGGCCATATGGCCTGGGGCCTAGGATGGAAATAGTGTTGGCGCTGCAAAAGCTGTATGACTTTCTGCTTCCCCTTCAGGACTTGACTTTATACAGTAGCACAGTTGATAGAGTATCCATTTTTTCTTGAATTTCATTTATTATTGACAAAATTATTAAATATGTTTATTTTTTGTAGGTAATCTGAAAGTTATCAAAATTACTGTTGGTGCTGTTAAAACTAAGATGTTATATGAAAGTCCAGGAGGGGGTGTGTTCATTAGACGTGATGGCAGTATTCAGGGACCTCTTAAAACCAAAGACCTTCAAGAATTGTGTCACATGGTATGGTATTTGTTCTTAAACCTGCTTCTTTA